AGGGGACAAACGCCCACCACTGAACTGCCAGGTCCTTCCTCACATACACCTCACGGTCAACTCACACCTCACCAACACCTACACACCCAACACACCCCCCGTCAGCGCCATCCACGCACGTACCGCAGACACTCCCATATGTCCCCCACACCTCCCTCCACAGACGTGCCCACACCCCCCCGACACACCTGCACCCCCAGACACACATCCCAAAGGTATCCCCACACTCCTATACCTACACCTCATAGATATATCCACACACCCCCAGACACACCTGTACCCCAGACACACGCAATTCATACGCAAACCCACACACGCCACAAAAGCCTTCTGCAGACACACACCCACAGCCCCAGAGAAACCCAGTCACAGACCCACACACCTCCCATTTAGACTCCTCCCACAAAAACACTCTCCACGTGTAAGTCCACATATCCGCCAACACACGCTTCCCCTATCCATCCCTAGACACCCACAAACACAGACACACCCCACAAGACCTCTCCGTTCTCCCCCACACCCTCATCTGGACACGCACAACCCACACAACGCAGCCCCCCCATGCCTCCTCCGCCACACACCACGTACACAGACGCCCTTGGACAGAGCTGTCACTCCGGTCTCATTCCCCAGTGTCCAGCGGACTCCTGGTTGGGATTCTGGAGGATGAATTGAGGCTTCTAGGATCAAATACACACAGACTCATGGATCCTCCGGCCTCCTTCTGAGGGGTCAGCCTGGGGCAACCTCCCTGGGAGCAGCCGGAGTTTGCCGGGTGCTCTTTAGCTCTGGGTGTTCTCTAAAGCAGACTGCCTCACGCCCGGGTGTCCTCACGACTCCCAGAAATGCCACAGGCCCCTGTCAAATGCCCCAGGGCACTGCTGCAGTGCCCATACCGCCCCACCCTCCCGGCCTAGTGCCTGCACCCCAGGCCCTGAAGGCTCCGGGCCAGGCCCAGGGGAACTGAGGGAGCAGAGGGACTGGGGGTAGACAGTGCACAGAGCAGGACCCCCAAATGCCCACTAACAGACAGCAGCTCCCTCCTAGGATGGGCCCACTTCGGGCCCCACGTCTTCATAACACCAGCTCGTGTGCCCAAGAGGGAGAGGAAGCGAGGGATACACAGCGAGGCTCTGAAGCCTGGAAACTCCAGCCTCCCATGGTCAGATCCCCTTACATCGTCTTCACTCTGACCTGTCCCCTGGCCTGGCCTGAGGAACTCTCCAGGGGCCAGGCAAGGGGCAGAACCTGGCACTGAGGCCAGCCGTGCTCACCCCCCCTTGATACACACCCTCCTCCCTCTCACCACCCGAACCCCAATCTACCAGGTGGGCCTTAGCCTGTCTCAGAACCTCCCCTGGAGTCCACCTGAGCCAGGACGGGGCGGGGCGGGGGGGCAGGTCAAGGTGGGATCACAACATTATCCCCCTCCCGAGAGCTGCCGGAGTTAAGTTCAGCCCCTTCATGCCCTCAGCCCCCACACTGTGCCCCTGACACCTCCCCCTGCCCTCAGGACCCTAAATCCCAGCGGGGTCCTCCTCCTGAGGAGCTGGGATGTGGAAGAGCCCGAGCCAACAGCAGCGGCTGCCCACCGCTTCCTTCCCAGCGTCGGGAGAGGGTCCCCAGGAGTCCCTGTACCTCAGCGGCTGGCTCTGGCTCTGGCTCTGGCCAGGCTCTGCGCAGGGTCCCTCCAGGGGCGCTTCCGGGGCTGTGTCTTCCTCGGGGGCCTGCAGCCACCGCAGCTCCTCGGGCTGCAAGGCCTGGTACCAGGGTGGGGGCCCGCCTTCGGGGCCCAGCACGGGGCTGGCGGCCTCCTGGTCAGCCCCACAGGCCCCTCTGCCCCCCGGCCTCCCCGCGGCCCCCGGGAGCTGCAGGAACCGCTGCATTGGGCACCGCCAGGTCCTGTTCTGAGATGAGACTGAGCTGACCCGGGAGCCAGGGATGCCTGTCGCTGTCCTAGACGGCCCGCCCCCGAAACTCGGAAACCAGACACGGGCAGGGAAGGAGGCTCTGGTTTCCTTTTCACTGCTCAGAGACAGGACTCAAGAGGGGGAGGAAGGTAGGGAGTGGGGACTAAGACACCCCAATCTCTGGCCAGGGGGCAAGCGGGACAGGGGAGAGCTGATCCAGACAGAGGGGAGGGACGCCCTCCTCACCTCCACTCTCCAGCCACATCTGGACCTCGGCCTCCCCAGAACTGCTCTTGCTCAGAAATCCTGAGCACCTCCTGCCCACTCTGACCCAAACCCAGAGCCAGGTCCTCGATTCCTTCCTTCCTATTGGCCTTCTCTGATCTCTACTTCCTCCCTCCCCGGCCCAAGGGGTTCTGCCCCCTGGCTCCAGCGGCTCTCTCACTCACACCCCTGGCCCTCCTGTCCGTGCTGCCCCTACCCTGCCAGGAGTAGCTGGCTTTATTTGCTGCATTTCAGACACCCTTGATGTGCCTCAAATCCCCGCCCACAGCCTTGCTCTCTTGCTCTCAGAGCTTCGGCACCTGCTTCTCACAGAAAATGAAAGGCCTCAGACAAAATCCCCAACACCTGCCCCGCTTCTCCTTCTGCCCTCCTTCCCTTGGGCAGCAATCCTCCTCAAAGCCAGTTCCGTCCTCCCCCACCCCCCAGCTCTGTGTGCCTCTCCTCCCACCACCCAGGGGTCCCCGAGCCTTTGGTTCCCTTCAGCCTCTCCCACACTACCAGCTCCTCCCAACAGCAGTTAGACTTGCTCTCCCATCCTGATAATAAATAAAAAAATAACAGCACAAATAAAATAAACAAACCTTCTTGAACTACTGATCTCCTCAGGCAACTTTTTTTCTCTCCCCTTCACAAACTTCCAGAAAGCAAATTTCTCATTTGCTGTGTATTGTATGTGTATTGTATTCACCTCTTATTTGCCCCTCTACTCACTTGCACTGGTTTTAGACACTGATAAGAATTTAGGGCTGAGGGGCCATGACGTCTGGAACTTACATGGTTCAGCCAAAACTATTGAAGGCCAGAGGGTTATACAAACCAATTATGGCAGAATGTCAACAGTGGTTGGATGGAGCTGGAGGATATTCTGGTACTCCTTGTATCACGCACTCAATTTTTCTGTTTGTTTAACATTGTTCATATAGAATGTTGGGGAAAAATTATCTAGCTTCCCCTCTTCGGACTTGGCCAGACTCGTACCCCAGGATAGGAGGTGGGGAGCAGTGCGGGGTTAACCTGCTCTTTGTCAAACCAACAGTCATGATTTCTTTCCCTTGTTTGTGTTGACCTTGCTGGTGGCCTCCTCCATCTTGAAAGCACATTCGGTTTTCCTCCTGTCTTTGGTTTACTTTTCCTCAATCACCTTCAAACACTTTCCCCTGCAATCTGGTCGTCCCTAACGTCTGCATCTTCCCAGTTCGTCTCTGCACTTTCTGCACGCATTTCATCAACTCTCCCTGAGTTATCTTAACTTCCTTCTGTGGCTTTGATTAATGCATATATGTTAATAACCTTTCCTGCAATCCCAGCTACCTAATAGGCTTGAATATATCCCTCAGAGCTTACAATCTGTCTGTCAAAAGCTGGGCTCAACATTATTTTCACCAACTTGCTTGTAACGTCTTTATTTCCAATAACACTGTACGGTGCTACCATCTATCCAGTTACAAGAAATAGTAACCTGAGTATTATCCTTATCTTCTCCCCCCATTTAAGCATCAGGTCTGTGACTTCTACTGCCTCAGAGGTCCTCAAATCCTCTGCCCCTCCCACAGTCTAGACCACCCTCCTGTCCCCCTCCTTTGTCTCCTACTCAAACCAGCATACCCCCAATGTCTTCTCCACAATCCAGCCGAGAATCCTTCTAAAACGCCAATCTGAGATCACCTGCTCTTGGTGAGCACTTGGCATCCTCCCACCCTCATTTCTGGTCACTCCAGGGGCTTGCACACGATTCGGGCCATACTGCATTAGCACCTACAAAACGTGTGACCTGGCTTCCCACCTCCCTACAGGATCTTTCCTCTGCCTGGAACATCCCTCTCTCTCCCCGCCCTCTGTCCTCCAGGGACAGGGACCAGCTTCTAGCATCCCTCCGACGCTCCTACAATACGGATTCTTCCCCTGTGCTCTCCTCTAGAGCCGCCAGAGGACGAGGACCGAGGGCTGTCTCAGGATCACGCCTGTATTCACAGGGACTAGGAGGAGAATGGACACAGCAGCCCCTTACAAATGCTTATTTCAGGATTTACAAACAAACGAAAGAACCAACGAGTGAGCCGAAGGTGGGGGGTTGGTGGTAGAAGGGTGGGAAGTCCAGGTGGGGCTGAACTCTAGGGTCAAGGTGGGAAGCAGGAGTGTGTGAGCACCGGCCAGATGGGAGGAGATGGGGGCGCGAGCGTGGAGCCAGAATGAGGGAAATGGATTTGTAGGAGGGGCCAGGCCTGCGAGGTTCCGAGGGCCCCAGAGCAGCCCTTCCCAGCCAGGCCCCAGGCTCAAGCTCAGGGACGCTGACCCCTCCCCCGCGACCTGCTGGAGCCGGCTCGCCCCGCGCGAAATCGCCGGGGAACCTGTAGTGCAAACCCACAGACCGCAGGCACGCCCGGGCGGGAGGGCCGGCCCCTCCGCCGCCGGCCTGCAGCCCCTCCTGGGGTCCCGGCTGGGCCGTGGCGCGGGGCGCCGGCGCGGGGGAAGGGGGCTCCGGGGCCCCGCCGCCGCGGGCGGGGGCAGGGCGGGCTTCCGGTCGGCGCGGCCGGGGCGCTGTCCATGGTGCCGGCGCGCCGCGGGCTCCCTCACCGCTTGTAGTCGGAGGAGAAGATGCCGCCGCTCGCCGGGTCGTGGCCGTACTCGGGCTCCCCGGGGCCGGCGGAGCCGCCCTTGTCTTCGCCGTAGGCGGGGGCGGCCGACATGGGGCGGCCGGGCAGAGCGCTTCGCCGGGGCGGAGGCTGGGGCCGAGGAAGCGAGCGCAGGCGGGGCTCCGCAGAGGCCGCAATCTGCGCGAGCGGAGGCAGCGCGCGGATTTATCAATCAGCGCCGCGCCGTGAGGCTCTTAAAGGCACCGGCGCGTGCGGAGCGGAGGGCGTGTCCACGGAGGGGGCGGGGCCGTGCCGCAGGGTCTGGGCCCGTCCCCACTCTCGGAAATCCCCGCCCCCTCCCCTTCCCGGGAAAGGAGACTCCTGTCCTTTAGACGGATTCGAGGCACCTCCGCGTCCTGAGGAGGGACAGCCTTCCCGGAGAGGCAGAGCGCCTTCCCTCACCCTCCCGACCACAGGGTCTCGGTGGAAGGTCCCGACCACCCGGCTCCGCTCATTCCAGACCCAGCCACATATGCTCCCCCGGGCAGTGGAAGGAAAGCCGGGGACTGAAGAGGAGGCTGTGTCCCAGTGCTGGGGGTCCTAGAGCGGGAAGGAGGCACAGCACCCAGAGACCCGCTTCGGAGACCAAGGACGCACCTTCTCCCAGCTACATATTTCCTAGAAAATCTGGGTCCCTCGGATGGTGTCTTGGTTTCTCACCAGGAAGCCAGGGGACTTCCTGGACGTGACAGAATTTAAGGAGGTTTTGTCCGTGGGAGGAGCCTACAGCCGGCTGCAGGCAGAGAAATGGAGACTGAATAGAAGGGACAGTGAACCCTGAACTCATCTTTGCAAAATAGTTTAATGACCATTTCTGAAGCCCCAATGCACAGTCAGGAGGGCCTAAGGTCACAACTATTCCACACTCAAGTTCAGGTCCACCGACATCTTGGAAGGAAGGGAGAGAGGGAAGAAGCTGGGTTAAGGTCTGGTTGACAGCCAGGGCTCCTGGATCATGTGAGGCCTCCAGCTCAGCTGCCAAGGCCCAAAGTACCCCCAAGGAAAGATGGCCTGGATCTAGAGAGAAAGTAGTGACCAGGTTTTGGGAAAGGGGTGAGATCCAGTTGGGCCCGAGTTTGGGCCATCGGATTGGATGACTGAGGTCTCTTGGCTGGGTTTGGAGGAGGAGGAGGAGGAGGAGGAGGAGGAGGAGGAGGAGGAGGAGG